AGTCTTTTATTCCTCTCCCGAAACAGTGTCTTCTCCCACTTGGTGTACCTTAGCCTTCTCCACTACGTACAATCTCTGAACACAGCTTGTAATGGAGGCTCTCGCTGGCAATCCGTAGTGGAGTCGTTAAATGCAATGCGAATGATTTCATCTTGAGTCGAGCTGTGGACAATGTTGACTGGCTTGCATGCAGCAGCCATACATTTAGCTAAGGTTTCAGCAAATTTGTTCTTCGTCGTGTCATCCATTTTCTTCGCTTTGAAATGATCCATAGCTGTCTGTCTGAGACGAGGGGGCGGAGTACTCACATCAGCTGTGTGCTTGGCCATTAAGTGGTATTTCAGACTCAACGTGCTATGATGATAGCTCAGTTTGCGTTGAGTTGAGTTTACGACTGCAAAACATACAGGTAACTTTGGTCTTGTCAGTGGAGCAATCTGGCAACTTTTTAAAAGTAAACTTTCCATTCATAAACTCTTTAAGTATCCGTTTTCAGTGTCTTGCGCTGCCGTGGCTGGCAAAACAAACGTGCATGGACCTATGCAGCGCATATATAGAGAGAGAGAGAGAGAGAGAGAGAGAGAGAGAGAGAGAGAGAGAGAGAGATAGATAGATACCTGTATATGGCTCTCACTGAAATACATTTCCAAATATTTTGCTTTTATGGCTCTCTTAGTCAAAAAGGTTCCCGGCCCCTGGTATAGACCGAGAGCATTTTCTATTACACGCCCCTGACGCGCCTGGCAATTTGGTAACGGAATGTGGACTAGAAATCACACACAGACGCATGATCGGGGATGGATAGCGTTCTCCAAGTTCCCATTTTACATTGGCCAATTTAATATCATCCGCACATGGAGACCTTCTTGCAGCTCTACATAAACGCACTTTGCGTGCACGGATCTCCTGCATGGACTCCAATTAGCGAATCTGTTATGCTGCCACCATGTGGAACGCGTGCCTCATCTGTGCTAAATTTAAAGGGAATAACGGGAGACGTTTTGGCCGGTAATCAACTTGGGCATGTTCACTCCCACAATGACGCAAACACCCATTCCTAACTGCGCCCATTTACGAAAAATGCCAAAAGAAAGAAAACCCATTGAGGCCCATAGCTACACTGCACTTTGAGCTAGACTCGCGCTGGCCCCAAAAATAAGGCCAACAGCTTTAACTCTTTCACAACTTCTCAGTTGTCAGGATTTTCAGGGTTTGGCTGAAATGGGGTCCCTGGCATGAGTTGTCCCTCCCCTTACTGCATATGTATTGAGGGCTTTCATTCCATCAGTGGCTATCTGCTGCAATTACAAGTTACTTGGTTGTACTAACCTGGCTTATTTCAACCACTACAGTGTTCACCATAAATCTGTTTCACCACCCCGAAAAAATACTTCTTACACGAAATATTACATGCTTTGTGTTATTTGGGTTGCAGTGTTTCTGGTGGTCGACTGGTGAGAAGGGCTGCCTCAAAGTGCAAAGGTCTAGGGTTTGATTACAGCCCCGGCCTTCCTGTGTGGAGTTTGCATGTTCTTCCCATGCCTGCGTAGGTTATCTACGGGTCCTGTGGTTTCCTCTCACATTCCAAACCTATGCTAGTAGGTTAACTGATCATTCTCAATTGTCCTTACGTGTGATTTTGAGTGGGAATGATTGTTTGTCTATGTGTGCCCTGCGATTGGCTGGCAATCTGTTCAGGGTGTACCCCGCCAACTGCCCAAAGAGAGCTGGGATAGGCTTCAGCGTGCCCGCGACTCAGATAATGGAAGGATGGATGAATGTCCAAGTTGGCCACCACATGCTGCAGCTGTGGAGAGTTGAACCCCCCCCTCCCCTCCTGGTGCTTTTTCATTTGGCTGCAGCCACAATTTTGCATTGTATCTTTGCACACATTCGAACTTTGAATAATCATTTTACCTTATTTTGTTTGATTTTTTTATTTTCACAAGTTCTGGGACTTACTAGGCTAACCTAGGATCTCAGGTCTTGTATTGTGTACCATATCATGTGGAATTGTTTGTTCGAATGACAATAAAAATTCCTTCAATCCTTGAAAACTCAACATTGGATATAACTTGAAAGGACAACCAGAAAATGATTTAGTAACAATGTAAAATAAAAATATGTTAAAAGGACAAATAAATGAATGAAATAACAAGAAATAAAAAACACCGCCTATTCCTGATGTGCACGCCTTGGCATGTTTAAGGCACTGTAGTACTGTGCAATGTGTAGAGTACACACGTACTAAAGGGCTGCCACAAACAATTATTTTACTATTTGACTAATCACCGCAGTAGGCGCGGTAAATCTGATTAAATATAAATCACAGCAAATCGTACCAGCAAGCAGCTGCTTTTGTAATAACACCATTAGCTTAGAGCTTGCATCATATATATA